GCCACGCACTCTCACCGCCCCCCAGCAGACAGAAAGGCTGAAATGTCAAAGATGTGCCAGTTGCCGCCAACAAAAGCACAGATCAGCTCTGAAAGAGGATAAATATGATAGGGGGCACAATAATACCAGTGCGCACTTGTTAACTAGGAAAATCCCGCCGGAGCTGGGGGCAGGGAGGGAGGGAAACATTGAGAATAGGAGCTGCCAGGACAGGAGCCCCTGGGGGGAGAGCACAGAGGGCTCCTCCAGCAGCCACCATCAATTATATGGGCTGGTTTTGTTTTGTTTTGTGAGTCTGAACTGAGGCTCAGCTGATGGGGCTGAGGGGTGAGTAGGGGGTGAATAAGGGATTTTACCCAAACCAGTGACTCTGAATGGAGGTCTTGGGCTCCGTTAAGGGGCCCTCGGCGGCGGTGAGAGCTTGAAAAGAGGTTCTTTGGGCTGTGCGAGGGAAAGGAATGGTGGGGGCTGGGGGAACATTTTAGGTGGGAGGGGTAGGGGGAAGGAGAAGAGCACAGTAATGGGAAAAGGAGGCCAGCTTCTGAGCTCTCCTTTCTCACAATTCGACCCATGTGGTTCTCTTTATCTCAGCCGTTCAGGAGTCAATAGAGGGAGCCTTTTTATTTTCAACACTAAGTATACAGCCACCCCACCTCCCCAACACTTACATACACACACACATATGGACAGTGACCAAAACATTAGAAATGTTTGAAAAGATGTCTCTTCAGAGGTTTGCTGCACTTTCCATCCCTCTGCCCACCACATACCTACATTCACTTCACACCAGTCTCTACCACTCCATTCTGCCTCTCTTCTTCCTTCTGATCCCTCCTTTCCATTTCACACCCCTTCTCCCTCCTTCCCTGAAAACCTCAGAAATTCGAGAGGCTGAGAGTGAGGAGGTTCTTGACTCTTTTTCGAAAGCTACATGGTGACAGGTAAAGCAAAGATCCATGATTTGCAACCAATACAGGCAAAAACAAAAGATTAGAGAAAGCCCAAGCTTGATTTTTTGACTGTGTTCGTGGATAGAAAAGAACAACAAAAATTTTTTTAATAATGGACTCCTCCAAAATGTTAAGTCTCTAGTAGGACAATTCCCTTTCAATTCATTCCTAAGTCTAAGATTGAAATAGCCACAGCCTTTGAATTTACTGTCTCAAATGGGACAGGGATCAAGAAATGGGGGGTGAGGGCGGGATGAAAAAATGAATTAAAGATGTGTTATGTACATGTACCAACTCTACACAAGGGGTGTAAATGTTATGTACTGAAAACATGTACTAATACAAATAAAATTAGGGCCAGGGATGTACTTCAGTTGTGCCGCACCTGCATGGTAAACATAAGGTCCTGAGTTTAATCCCCGGTACAGGAAAAAAATTTTTTTAAAGAAAATAATCCATCAGTTTTCCAACAATATTGTTTACATATTCTCATAGGGTGCCTGAGTCTGAATAGTTAGAACATACTTAACCAAGGGTAGAAGCTTTTAAGAATATATTCCAGGGCTCACCTCCCCGAGATTCTGATTCAGCAGCTCTGAATGAGTCTCTGTGTGTGTATGTGTGTGCTTGTCCGCGCGTGCGCATGTGCGTGTGTGTAAGAGAGACAGAGATCAATCTGTGTGCACATAGCCATTTGCAAATCTCAAATACTGAGTAAGATGTTCCCCCTCTGTTAGATCAGAGTGACAGTAGTCAAGTAATAGTCACCAGTCCAGAGCTAGACAAATGGCTCATTATTTGAGACAGATCCATCTCTGCTACCAAGCACTCTGGCTGGATGAAGGAAAAATCTCTGCTTATTTTTTATTATCAAGAAATGAAGAGAAAGGTAAGAGATATTGAAAATAACATCAAATAATTGCTTAGTGCCAAGCACTTTTCCTACAAAGATCTTTACCCCATTGCGGGGAGAAATGAGACCTGGTTGTCTTCAGCAGCTTGCTCAAGGTCACACACTTGATAAGTAGTGGAGCCAGAATTTCTCCATAGGCTTCAATGACCTGAACTAGAGGGAGACCCCAGGTCATACAGGGATGAAAGTGAGAACAGCCCAGGAGCAGTCTGTCCTCTCTCTCATAGGGGTACTCCTCAAGGTTGCTTCCGCACTCTTGTCAGCAAGCTATGGGGTGGTTCCTGGCATTTTTTTCCTCATCAAGGACTTCAAACTTCTCCTGATCTCTCACAGATCATCTTGTTTCTTCCTCCTAATCCAGCTTGTTGGGCTGAGCAAAGTGCCCCGCAGCAAGCAGAGAAGGAAAATGAGCATTGGTTTCCTATCTGACATGGAGCAGGAGAGTGAGTATAACTTCCAGGTCTCTCCCATGCATAAGAAAATCACAGTTAATATTTCCTTGATTAAATATCTAGTCCCTTGAAGGTACGGCTGTGAGTTGGCTGTGACTCAGCTGTGAGGATCTGGGATGTGAGGAGGTGATTTGATTCTCATTCAGCCAGCCAGGTGCTGTTCAATGGAACTAGTCAGCTCTTCACAGTATCCAAGTTCTGCCTCTGCTGGATGCAGCAGATACTCTGAGGGGTCCAGGAGTACTCCTCTCCTCTCCCCTACTACTTCAGCTTTTCAAGGGTAGGAGAAGACATGAACACTGTTCGGACTTCTCTCTACCCAACACATTCAAGTCTAATGCTGATGTGACACTCAGTGAGGAATTGTCCTTCAGTTTGTTCACAGGTATTTATTAAATTGGAATGCTCAGGGCTCAAACATTCTCAGTTGTTCTTAGTCACCATTCTTAATCATCCTTGTCTTGTGAGATGCAATAGCTTCTAGATTTTCACAACTGAAATGTGCCCTCACTGGACAGCTGCTTCAGCCTCTTGGAGTGCTGGGATTACAAGCGTGCACAACTATGCCCTCCTTAGCAATACTTTTTCTTCACTTTTTGCCAGTTTCCTAATAATGTAATCAATTCAAAGATTCTACATTTTCCCCCTTTACCTCCGGTTTCCATGCTATTTTTCCTTGTTTCCAAAGGGAAGTCCACAAATTCCAAAGTTGGTATGATTTGGTTACTCTTTAATTTCTTCATATGGTTTCTACCCTTACACTCTGTATTGCTCACTCTGGGAAAGGCCCCCATGGCCTACAAGAGCCTGTCCTTGTTCTTATCTTACATGGTTTCTCTGCAGCCTGTGGTGCCGTAGGCCTCGCCCTCCCCTGACACTCCTTCCCTTTGCTTCTTTAGCACTCTGTGTACCTTTATCTTCTGCTGTGTCTTTACCTAGGCTTCACATCCAAGAATTTGCCAGGATTCAGTCTCTGCATGGTTTTCCCTAGACATGACTTTCCCGTCTATGGCTTCAGTTAGGTCTACTTCTAAGCAGAATCATTCTTGCAGTTTTCCATTGGATTTTGCCATGTCTATTTTATTATTAATTAAAATTCAAATATCTCAAATTGAATATATTTTCTCCAAACATTTATTTTCATCTACTAACTTCAAGCCTCTTGATCTCTACCTAACCATTTATTATAATATTCCATCAGTCACGAAAGTCTATAGTTCTTTTAGCTCTGTTCTCTATCCTATCTCTTCAGTTCCTTCTTCCAATTCCAATTCTGGCCTTTATCCTCCGCCCATGGACTACTGAAATTAATCTGTTAAAATACTCTTTTCTGTTTTGTTTTGTTTTGAGACAGGATCTTACTATGTAGTTCAAGCTGGCCTTGTACTCACTATATAGCCATGCTGGCCTTGAACTTACGGTGTTCATTCTGCATTATCCTCCCAAGTGCTGAGATTACAGATGTGTGGCCCCATGGCCATATTAATCTGTTAAAATACTTTTGTACTATAAAATGTACTCTTTTATCAAACTTCCAATAGTTCTCTATTATTTACTCAATCAAGTCCAATCTCTTTAGCCTAATATTCAAAAATTTCTTTAATCTAATCTTAAATTAGTCAGTCTCAACATTTCTCCCTCTGTCAAATTTCCTTAAACAAATAAATCACTCCAGCGAAATTTTTATTTTAAAGTTCCCAAACATTTTGTGTTCCTTCATTGTCACACAATTATTCATGTCCTTTCACCCTCCTGGTACACCCATCCCACTTATTCCCATCTCTCCTAGTCTAATTTTCTTCAAATTGCAATTTAAATCCCACCTTTCATGAAACTTTCCTGGGCCATGTGGGTCAAAATTAATCTCTTCTTCTCAAATCACATTAAATTATGTAAATTGCAGTTTATACATTGAATTAAAGCTTAAATTTTTTCTTATATAATTTTCTTATCTAGACTGTTTTCTTCTTTTGGATTTGGATTCCAAATGACACCTAGTTCAGACTCAGTACATGACCTGTCCTCTTTCAAGTTTCCATGGATTTATGAATATAAATTGCCTTTGTAAATTGAGTCTAAATTTGTATGTTTATGACAGCAAACACTATAGGAGTATTAGCTATATATATATGTCTGTAGGTCTGGGTACTCTGTTGTACTTCCTTCTAAATCAAATCTTTGTTGACCACCTGTGTGTCTTAGTCCCACTGCACTGCTGTAATAGAATGCCCGAGACTAGGTAATGGATAATAAACAGAAATGTCCTGGCTCACAGTTCTAGAGACTGGGACATTCCATAGCAAGGTACCAGCATCTGCTGAGAGATTTCTTGTTGTGTTATAACATGGTGGAAAGCATCACATGGCAGAAGACAGAGAGAGAGAAGGAGCCATATCCAGTCCTTTCCTAATGACATTAATCCCACCCATGAGGGCAGAGTCCTTATGCTCAAATCACCTATCAAAGGTGCCACCTAATACTGTCACAATAACAATTAAGTTTCTACGTAAATTTTTTTTTTTTTGGTACCAGGGATTGAACTTGGGACTTTGTGCTTGCAAGACAGGCGGCAGAACCACCGAGCTAAATCCCCGGCCCCTCTACATAAGTTTTGGAGGGAACAAATATTCAAACCATAACAGTGTGAAACTGTGTATATATCACATTCTGTATTTATCAGATCAGTAGAGCAGGAGCAAGGTAGATAGCAAGTCTGTTTTCTTCCAAGTAACCTCATTTACCATGCAATAATTAATGTCTTTCTTCATGCCAAAGTAGTTCCATTACTGTAAGATAAAGAAACAGGAGAGAGAAGGAGAGAGAGAAGGAAGAGATGGAAACTTTGTAACAGTTTTTGATTCATGTGTATGGAAAAAATAAACATTTACATTAGACAAAATAGCATTAGTATATATCTAGGTCAGAAATTAATTTATTCCCAACTCCTTCTAAAGTCATTTACCAAAAATGAAAGATATAAGAATCATAGATATAAATACAGCTTTTTTTTCTTTATCTGTAGAACCACAGTAGTTACTAATGTAATTTGTTTATTCAGTTCAGATTAGAGACAGCTCATCTTTACATAACTGCCTCCATTTCTGGCCAAGATGGTGAATTGATGCCTTGCTGCTGGATATGTCGGTGACCAGCAATAGGACATCCCCTGGGAGCTTGTTAGAAATACAGAATCTCAGGACCTGCCTCAGAATCTGCATTTTAACAAGCTTCCCAGGTAATCTGCATGCACATTAAAGTTTAAAAAGCATTGAAGTAAGGCCAATTTTCTGGCCAAACAGCATTGAAAATTTCTCTCATATGGCATTAATCCAAAGCTTGATGATTCCGTAGCAACCTTAAGCAGTATATGGATGGTGATGTGTTGAAAATATAAACTAGCTGCAGTTTTCAGACTAGAGTCTTCCTCTGGCTAGTATCTTCTCAATTATTCCCCAGACTGGTCAGGGGATTTAGCTCAGTGGTGCTGCCGCCTGCCTCCTAAGCCCAAGGACCTGAGTTTGATCCTCCGTACCAAAAAAACCCCCAATTATTCCCCAAACTACAGGAGCCAGGAAATACATGCCTGCAGCCTTACCCTTGGGCTCCAAGAGTCACATTCCTGCCCCTAGCCTTCACTTGTCTCTACCACATTGCCCTCTTCTTGGGCCTCCTCCGTCTGCTCTCCAACAGATGGCTGGATGAGACAGGCTGGGAACCCTTTCCTGCTACTACCCTTGGATGACTCCCTCACTAGGCCAGTTCCAATAGAGAAAGAAGTAAAACTATGAATAGCCCAGTCAGAAGTTGTCTGAGACTGTTTTTCTCTAGTGTGTCATCTTCTGCTGTCATTACCCTGTCATCTTTCTCAAACCTATCAGGAAGAGTATGATCACTTTAAGCATTGTATCAGCTTCTATCAGCTTATGTTATTTTCCTATTAGGCTTTTCCTGAGTGCATCTTGGTTTTGATCCTAAGAAAAACCTGGCATTCATATAAAAAAGACAACAGATCAAAACCAGACAAATCATGGGCTTTCCTTAATCCTAAAAACAATCAATGGCATTACCTTTTATTTATTTATTTATTTATTCATTCATTCATTCATTCATTTAGGTACTGGGAATTGAACTTGGGCCTTCAGACAGAGTCTCACTAACACTGGACTCAGATTTGTGATTCTTCTGCTTCAGCCTTCCCGGGTGCTGGGATTACAAGCATGTACCGCCATGCCTAGCTTGCATTACAGTTTTTAAATTCATTCATTTTCAACACACATGTTCCTACTCACAGTGGGTAGTATTCTGTGAAGAGGAGCTTCACTGGTGAACACAACAGTCTTTTGTCCTCATGAAAGAAAATCCATTTTAATGGAGGAGGCAGTCAATAAGCATGTCAACATATGAAGAATACAACTTTAGATCATGATTTGGGCTATGAAGAGAATAAAATATAGTGATGAGCATGAATTAAGACTCCATTAAGTTGGGAAGTCAGGAAAGGATTCTATATTGGTGGCATCTGAGCTCAGATTTAAATGAGGAGAGGGAGACAGCTATCCAAATATCTAGAACAGTTGTTCCAGGCGAGAGGGGCAGAGAGTGCAAAGAACATGAGGAAGGTCCTATTGTGATAATGTTGGGATAGGTTAGAAAAGAGAGAGAGAAGACAAATGACCAAAACAAAATCCCTGGCCTCAAGTCTTCAGAGCAAGTGGAATGACCTAGGCACAGAGAGGTGAGAAGTGGGGAAATGTTAGAAAATACAGGAGAGAAAGACAAGAGGTAGAGAAAGAAGTCAGAAGGACATAGATGTGGGAGGCATGGCCAACCACAGTCCACTGTCCAAGCCACCACGTGGCACAGGGCAGTGGGCTCGCTACCCAGGGACTATGGCCAAAGACACTGTGTTTCTCCTTTGGAGGGAAGAGAGCACCTGAGGGAAAATATACCAAGAAGCCAGAGGCTGAGGAGGCACTTAGTAACAAGAAACCTTCTGAAGAAAGGAAGTTAGGAATCAAATTATAGCAAGGCTATAAGTTGGAGCTTTAAAGCCCTTGTTATCTTCAGTGGCTATAAGGACATTTCAGAGTCTCCTCCTCAGAGTTCTCACAGTCCTGTGCAATATCCACACAAACACATCAGTATATGAATATATGAGTTTATGTGTATATGGTGTGGTGGGGTGCCTAGGCAGAGGGAAAGAAAGAAGGCAAAGCCATTAAAAGCCTTGCTGAGAAAGGTATTTCTTGTGGACAAAAAAGAATCAGGCCCCTTGCTCCCTACTGAGCCCATTTCTCCTGCCTTTACCCGAGCTGTCAGGCATGAATCTCTGTAGCATTCCGTAACTAATTGACAGTAATGGGGGCCATTGGGAGCCTAAGAATACATGGCATTACCCAGCATGCACTGCAAGAAAGGGGGGCTGCCTGGGGGCAGCTGTGGGAAAAGTAAAGGCTGTCTTAAACTTTTTTTTCTTTAATCAAAGGTAGGAAGTCAAAGTAGAAAGGAAAGATTTAGGAAATCTTATACTTGAGTTTAAAAATAAAAAATTATAAATCTCATATTTTATCCTGAATGAATATCTTACGATACTATGTCTACCACACAGAAGAAACAGATGGAATTTCAATTAACCCCAGGGCCCCCTGTGAAATCTATATTGTACCCTCTGGATTTACAACATATTGTAATATATGACTGCAGGGCCTGGAGATTCCATCGCAAATCAACTCTCTTTATTTCAAGGGTTCAGAAAACTACTACAAAAGCCCACTTCAGAATCAAAAGTATCCAACTTCCTACAACTTCATCCTCAGAGCTAAAATCCAATTTTAATTTTATGACACATTTTATTTATTGAGTAGTCTCATGTTTTTATAAGAAGGTACATTTATTTTTTCCTTCTATTAATGATATTATGGACTAAAGCTGCTTACACTAAATAAGAAATTAGGAAAACAGCTATTATTACATCTTAAAGAATGATTCTCCACACACAGTGAATTATCTTCCAAAGAATTTTTATATTTTAAAAATTCGTATCTTTGAAGAAGGTAGTCGTTAAGATTATTCAAATAAAAATAAAAGCAGTTACCCCTCCTATGAATATCATACAAAGCTGTAAATATTGAAAGAATTTTAAGAATTCCTAGTTGTTTTTTAAATCAGCATTATTTCTAAAGTGCCTATACACTTATGCCTTTGACTTTTATTTCAATTATTTTATTATTGGCCTCACCTTTCTGTATGAGTTCTTTATTTCAAAAAGAAAATTCACATAAGTGTTTGGCTCCTCACATACAAAAACATTAATTTTGTCTTTTCAGCATTGAGAAAAATTCCCTGCATGATTCTTAGAAGACTAGCATTTCCCCAAAATTGCATTTCAACTCAAATCTCTTTATCATCTGCAGTGATGAGTTTTCCCCATGAAATGGTACAGACTCTACTTTTCCCAGGTGGGGGAGGCTGCTGTGTTGTCCTGCATCTGATAAAAGGTTTGCCCCTGAACTCCTAGGGAATAGCTCTTAGCAAACTTCCTGCAGTTAGAGAAAAAATACTCTTGGAGAACTGGTAAACAGAAATATGCCTTTTAAAAAATTAGGGATGAGGGCCAGGGATTTAGCTCAGTGGTTCCGGCGCCTGCCTTCCAAGGGAAAGGTCCCAAGTTCGATCCCTGGAACAAAAAAAAAAAAAAAAATAGGGACAGAAATAAGATGTGAAGGTTCTCCTTCATTCTAAGGTGAACACCAGGAGCTGAGGACCATAGGACTGTCTCAGAAACACATCTATTAGATTCAGATGTTGCAAGCTGGGAGGAATGTAAGGAGCAAGTAAGGCCATTGCTGGTATGTTCTCCGGCTGTCAGAACAAAAGAGTTCTCTAGCCTGCTCTTCTTTTGCTCCACCAAATGCACAACCTAGAAGGAACACCATCATGGAACTCTTCTTTCTCCCTGGATCTGACATTGTGTGGCTGGACCAGCAGGTCCGTTGCATGGTGACCCCAACTCAAGTAGAGAGCCCTGATGTGGCACAAGGTCTGGGGGCCACATCAGAAATTCAAAGAATTGTTCAATTCTCTCTTCTGTGCAAGTTTGGAACATTGACTCAAAGTTTAGAAGAGGGTTGTTTTGTTTTGTGGTATCAGAAATTAAATACAGGACCTTTGCAGAGCTATACCCCAATTCTTCTTATTAATTTTTATTTTGAGACAGGGTCCTGCTAAATCACTTGAGTTGCCCAGGCTAGGCTTAAACTTGCAATTTTCCTGCCTCAGCCTCCCAGAGAACCAGGATTACAGGCATTCCCCACCACACCAGCTAGAAGAGAGTTCTTTAAATAGAAAAAGCTCCTCTTATTTCAGGTGAGTTTGGTTTATCCTTTTAAGCTACTGGGTTTGTTTTTTGTTTTGTTTTGGTTTTTTTTTGTTTTTTCGGTACTGGGGATTAAACTTGGGTCCTCGTGCTTGCAGGGCAGGCGGCAGAACCATTGAGCTAAATCCCCGGCCCTAAGCTACCGTTTAACCAGAAAAAAACGAGGCTTTTAAATAAGCTGAATATTCTCCCATTTGTGATATCGTAATATCAATCCATCAAAGGTCATTTTGATGTAATTATTAAGGTTTATTTCTTCATCTGAACAAAAACATGGATTTGTTATTGAACCCAGACCAATATTCACTTAACCTGTCTAATCCCCATCCTAGATAGCATTTATTTTGGAAAGAGAAAATATGTGGTTACTTAAGAATAATATACCAACCAAATGTTAAAAATGACTGGATTTTTTGCTTTTTAAAAAAACTTTTGTGTGGGAGCCCGGGATTTAGCTCAGTGGTGCTGCCACCTGCCTCAAAAGCACAAGGTCCGGAGTTCAATCCCCAGCACCAACAAAACAAAACAAAAAAACTAGTACTTATGAGCCAGCACTGTTCTGAATGCTTTACATACATTAATTACCTAATCATCACAATGCTCTATGTAGCATTATGATCCTCCTTTTCCAAAGAGAGACAATTAATAACATGAACAGTACTCTAAACACATTTGTTCCTCAGCCTTTAGAAGTTACTGCCAGGCATCTGCTTTTCTGATGGCCTACTCATCTGCAGTACTGGGAGGGACTTATCATTCAATATATGTCAATGTGACTCTTCCTTCTTTTTCCTCCCCACAACCTCTCTTCCCAGTCTGCTCTGAACCCCATTTACAACTTCTTATTTGAGACTTCCTTACTTACGTTTGGCAACTTTACTTTCAGGCTTCCTGTTTTCATTTTTATCCTATTAGTTTTATATCCAACACCACTAGAAAGTAAGAAAAGATAAGAGAATAAAGAAAACAATACTATGGATGGGAAATATTCTGAAACCACCTGGAAAACTTCATAGTTGGATAAAGTGGGAAAAGTATACTGAATAACAATACTGTTGTATCGTGTCTTCTCCGCTGAACTCAAATCATGTTTTTAATCACTTGGTTGGACCAAGGGAAATGCAACAAGTTTTCTACTAGATCTTCCTCAAGAATTCATTTACCCTCAGTTTTTCCCCAAAGTCTTCACTGTTAGCCTTTCCAACAGGTATCTATTCCTTTCTTCCAATTTTCGTGGCACTTACATACATAGACAGGACCTTGCTGCCAAGTATTTGCTTATTATCTTGGCTTGAAATTTTCTCTATTCCTTTAACTTATGCACGTCTGATCTCCAGAACCAGGTTCCAAAGAAAAGGGCTATTGTTTTTCTTTGCAGATTCTGCAGAGCCTTGTTCTGTAAGTTACACAAATTTGTTAAGCTGAATTATGGAGAATGTTATGTATAAATGACAGATCGGTGGGTATAGCTCAGGAACAGAAGGTTTAACTAGCATGTGCAAGGCTCTGAGTTCAATCTCCAGCACCACAAACAAATTTAAAAATTAAAAATAAATGACATAATTCCCTGAAGTATAATTGCTGAGCACAAGAGCACTGAACTGACTGGGAACTGGGCCAACTAAACAAAAAATTACAGCAGAAAGTGGAGGACAGTTGTTCAGAAATGAGCCAGAGACTGGCAGATAGAGGGATAATAATGAGTGGTGTCATAAACTCAGGCCACAGCAGAGACAAGAAACAAGCTTACGCCCCTCTGTGGTAATGGGAATATCAGAGGAAGACTGGCTGGGATTCTGGACGATGCTAAAGTTTCCTCTGAACCAAAGAAGAGACATTCTCTGTAAAACTTGTAGAGAAGAGTCTGCACTAAGAGAAAACAGGGGAAGATGTTCAAAGAAAAGCATTGAAGTGGCTGAGTGATTGGCTAGGAATGTTTGGGCTATTATGACCAAACCGATTCCAGGACTTCTTTTTTGTGATTTCAACAATTCTTCATCCATTCTCTGCAGATTGTCCTACTTACTATAGGTATGAGTTTTGGTTTTCTGCTCCCTTTTCTCTGAAGGCTCCTAGGAAGTCACTGCTTCGGGAAAATCAGATCCTGCTGGTGAGAACAGCCATGCGAACTGTCCTGAGTGGGGGATAATGACATAAAGTTATAATGATGACCACTCAAGCGCAATAGTGTTAGTATTTCATGCTCTATCTTTATATATTAGCAAGCTCTTTTACATCTTCAGAAATTATTTTTGCCCTCTCACTGAGAACCATAAAATAAATTGATATTTATGTAGAATCTTTCCAACAAGGAGTTCAAAAGTCAATGATGACAAAAGGGCTCTCTGTTTTCTTAAATTATTAGACATTGTTTGTTTTTGAGGTTCTAGGCATGAAGCCCATGGGTTCACATCTGTTAGGCAACTGCTCTGCTATTGAGCTGCACCCATAGCCCCAAGACTTTATTTTTAGAGTAGGTTTAGGTTCATAGGAAACTTGTGAAAAATACTGAATTCCTTTATATTCCCTCCTTCTCCCCTTCTCCCCATTCTTCACTCCTTCCCCTCTAGTTTCTTCTACTATTAACATCTTATATTAGTGTAATACATTTGCTATAACTGATGACTAATATTGACTGGTACATTATTATTAACTGAAGTCCATAGTTTAAATTAAGGGTTACTCTTTGGGCTATATATTCTGTGGATTTCAAAACATGCATAATGAAATGCATCCACTATTATAGTATCAAACAGAGTAGTTTCACTGCCATAAAGTTAACTTATGCTCCACCAATTATTCATCCCTCTCTGACTCCCTCCCTCCTACCTCCCCCTTCCCCCAGTAATTGGCTATCATTGTTCATTTTACTGTCATCATAATTTTGCCTTTTCCAGAATGTCATATTGTTAGAATGTCATATAGTTATACAGTATATAGCAGCTTCAGGTTGGCTTTTTTCAATTTACCAATATGCATTCAAGGTTCCTCCATTGTCTTTCATGGCTTGATAGCTCATTTTTTATCAGTGAATAATATTCTATCACATGAATGTATCAGAATTTGTTTATCCATTGATCTTTGAAGGATACATTGGTTGACTCCACATTTTGGGCTATTATGAATGAAGTTGTCATGAACATTTTTTGTGCAAGTTTTTCTTATTTTGAAGTTGAGTGACAGAAACAAGATTCCCAGAATTCTATGAATTCATACAACTGCTTTTGGTCTTCCACCAAGTTTAACATGATAGAGATTAAGGTCATACATAGTTATGTCCAAATTACTTGATAACAGATCACAGCCATGGCAAGATGTGCCACTACAAGATACTATTGTTGTGGAGGAGAGAGAGTCTCAGCTGACTCAAAAGGGAAAATCTTACTAGAGCTCATGGAACTTGGACTTCTGTGCTAAACTTCACTTGGAGATGCAGTTCCAGCTGCATGCTGTAGACAGCATTCAACTCCTGAAGCCAATTCCTAGTGTTATTTTCAGTTCAGACTGCTACAACAGCCTGGGTGTCCGAAGCAATGAGCACTTATTTCTTATAGTTCTAGAGGTTGGCAAGTCCAATATCAAAGGGCTGCATAGTCTGGTATCTGGTGAATGCCAGCTTCCAAGTGTGCAGATGGCTGTCTTCTGGTTGACTCTTCACATGGTCAAGAGAGATGACTTTTTCTTATAAGTTACTAATCCTGTAATGACAGCTCCAATGTCATGATCTGCTCAATTCCCCAAAGATACTACTTCCTAATACCATCTCATTGGAGGTTGGGATTTCAACCTGTGGATTTTAGGGAGAAATAAACATTCAGTCTATAGCACCCAGCTAGCTAAATAACTGCATTTACAGCCTACTTTTAATATCTTTCCACTTGTGTGGTTTTAAAACCTTCTCAGACTCAGAGAAATCATCATCATGTTCTTTTTTTCACTTTAAAAGAGAGAATCTTAGTAATTAGAACCATCTAGTTTAGATTTCCACTACCAAAATTGCAGAGGTGATCTGTCTATTCAGCCTCCAATCTCAGCATCTTCCTTCCTAAACAACCTTCAGTGTTTCTGTACTTACCTCAGCACTCAGTCCTCACAGTACATCAGTACCCAGTACCATAGTACTCTACCTCAGAATCCAGATCCTCTTATTTAACTACTCAGGCTTTTAGTTTCTGCAATGATCCCAACCAGTGAAGAACTAAAAAGAGCTTATGTTTTTTCCCTCCTTTACTGTATTTCAACAAGGACAACCCAAGACTTGACTAGGATGTGTGAAGCTTCAAGATAACTAAACTCACCTCAGGAAGCAGTCATTTCGTTCTCCTGACTTGGGAGAAGGAAGATTCTAAGCCCCTCGAAAGCCTTCTCTCCAACTTAACTCCCCACCTAGAGCTGCCTCAACACCTGTTGGAAATTTTCTCACCACTTCTTGGACATTCCTTCCAGAGGATCCAGTTGTCAGTGTTACCACAGAACCCCAACTTAACACACCAGCTCAGAGATCTGTTCTCAGAAGGGCTGGTCACTAAGGAAATGACTATCAGGCCAGGTGTCAACAAAGTGAGGTTCTTCCAGCTGGGCCCTGCGGCCACTCCCTACTGTGTTGAACTTTTCATGAAATGTGGCCAATAGCACTTAATATAGGATTTCCCTCTGAATTGCTGATCAAAACTTTGGAGGAACAGAGTCATTGTTGTACTTGTCAAGGAGAGTAGGAGTGGAGAAGAAAGTAGACTTTGTAGGACAGCAGTGGAGACAGGAAAAGAAGTAGCTGGAACTAGGGCTAAAATCTTGGCTGTCCTAAGGTAGAAGGGGCAAGAGAAGGTAAGCAAGCAATGAGAGTGAATGAACTAAGTGAAGCAGATTATGATGTGTTTTGTGTACCCAGATCTCTGAAGATACTGAGGTAAGAAAGAATGCTTTCAAGCTATGATTTGCAATGACAAGCAGTTTTCCACTTATCACTAAAATAACATTATCCTATTTCCAGAACACTGTTTAGTCAGACTTGCCTTGTTTCATAAGCAGAATAAGGAAGGAAGTAGGCTTAATTCTGATATTTGCAGAGTTCCTGTCATATTTGCTGAGCCACACTTGAAGGGGCTTTAATGTATGTTACCCTTAGTTTAGCACTTATCTTCATAAACAGTTATGGGAATCAGGAGAAGTGACTTGTACATGGATACAAAAGCTAGTGATTTTGTTTTCAGTGTCAGGGTTTGAACTCAGGGCCTCACACATGCTCAGCAAGTACTCTGTCACTGAGCTACATTCCCAGCCCTACAAGGTAATAATTTTCAAAGCCTGATTTCAACTGGTTCCAAAGCCTGTTCTCATGTTCTGTAGGTTGTATAAATTCAGCTCTTCCTCTGCTTAACACTTTCCTCCTGGTAAGAAGACATTTGTTCTTTTATCCCAGTGCTATCTTCTTTAGAATGTTTCTCCTGAGAAGAGCTAGTCACTTAAAATTTCTCATCAATGTAATCCTTGCTGAGAACATATTTATGAGTGCATTTACTGCAAGGAAATTTTGACTGTGGACAGGTAGAGTGGGAGGGCAGACAAAAACTAAAAAGTAAAAGGAAAGGGCTAGCCAGAAAAAGGACAAAATGAAAGACCAACGTGAAAAGGGAGACAGAGATCCAACACCTTTGCATGCTCCTCATACAGTATTTTTCTGGGTGCAGGGCTACCTGAGAGATGCCCTGCTTATCCTGGCCTCTCATTCTGCCCAGGAGAACCCCTTACATCCCAAATGTTCATTGAGTGGGAAGAGACTGGTGACAGAATGCTCACTCTGGTGGAGATGGGGGAAGAGTGGGGTGAAGACAAAGGGGGAAGTAACTTTTTAAATAAAAAATGATAAGTGATGAATAGACTGGCTAATCCTGGGGAGCCCTGAGAATGCCGGACTGCAGAGCAAGGGCCTCTCTTTTTTTTTTTTCCACTGTGCTTTTTCTTTTCTTTCTAATTTTCTTTTATTTAATTTCGCTGCAGCACGTATAATCAATTACAGACTGAATCGGGATAAAGGGAGGGGAAGCACTTTAATTCATAAATCAATTTTATACGGTCATCAGTCAGGTTGTGAATGCAAATACCTCTGTCGGTTTAGGTTATTCAGAATTAATTGACTCCCACTGGGCTGGGCTGCAGATGGAGAGGGGCTTTCTCACAGTCTCCTTGGGCCCAGCATGCGGGCTGAGGGCTTCCTCCCTCCCCCCTCTGGCCAGCCCCCTCTTCTCCTTTACCCTCTGGGCCCCAAACATGAAGATGATGGGGGTGGGCATCCAGCAAGAAGCTGGGTGGATAAGAGCCCAGAAGGAGTGTTTGAAGAAGGAAGGGGATACACAGAAAGATGAAAGCCCCCAAACAAACCCTCTTCAGCCCAGGCCCTACAGAGACACCTTTATGTGATTAGAAATGCTTAACTTTCAAGGGTCTCCTTTTAAGTTCTCTTGAGCTTCTTAAACAAAAAAGAAAACAAACAGCAAAGCTAGAGCCCCTAGGCTAAGGCTGAAGGGATATCATTCAAAAACCACCAGGGTGCAGGGGTTGGTGTGACTGCCAGATTTGAGCAGCCAGAGTGCAGTCCAGGACAGAGGGCTAATTGCCCTGCCAGGCAGGGCCAGTGCCAATGTGAGGCCTATACCTAAAGTTTCAGCCAGTGGCCAAAGAGATGGCCTGGCTGCACCACAGGATGGAGATAGAATGCATTGTGACCTACCACCCCCACATCCCCAAAGAGTTGACCTGGGCTGTCCTGGCTGGGCAGCACTTATTTCCAAAGTTTGGGGCCTCTGTCCACAAGAGTGCATTCTAATTTGGAAAAGACACACCCATCCGTCCATGCAATCAACATATTCTGACCTCAATTTTTATCCTCACCTAAATATACTCCCGTGTTGTTCCAGATCCAATGTATCTTAGCAGTTTTCAACACCACACTCCCACATGAAAATCACCCAAGGAGTTGTTTTGTTTTGTTTTTCTGTTTGTTTTTTCATGCTCCTGGCTAGGACAAACCCTAAAATACTGCTGTAAATGGTCTCGAGTAGAGCCCCAGGGAACTGGTGTTTTTGAACAGAATACAAGTGAGTCCAATGTGCAGTAAAGGTTGGAACCACTGAAGTCTCTGTGGGCTGTGGTGGGTGCTTTTAAAAACCCCTTCCTTACCTCTGCAGGTGCCCCTTGTGCTCCCCACAATCTGGCAATATTTCTGAAAGTATCCCCCATTACAATAACATTAGAAACAAAACGTACTGGTAATAAATAATAAATGAAGTTTAAGAACATATATGTTGTAGATTCCCTAGCCCCCACCAACCAACCTGCAAGTAGTAAAATTTCTTTTAAAAAAATCTATCATTTACACAAATTCCTGGTACATGTGGGAATCCCTACTAAGGCAAAACACCACGGTATTTGTGCTATCTTTATTTAAAATCTAATCCTAGTCTGCCTGGTATACATCACATTTTGCCTTGACATAATAGTTACATGTTTGTGGTTTTAGCCAAAGAACTCTCCTGAGAGACCAAAACCCGAATTGCAAAGCAAAAGAAAAGTAATCCATTTGACAGATGAGCCCAAAGTCTGCATACGCTAAACATAGGGTCTTAGCCCATAACCTCTAACAAAAAACAACCAGACATAAAATTCCTACTCATTTTAAACTTACTCATCTTAAATATAGTTGCCCATATGCAAATAGACTGTATTTATTTATTTGAAAAGTTTGAAGAATTCTTGGAAATGCTCCTTTAGTCATTCGTTTTTATTACCGTATGTTATTGGTGGGAATAAAAATGCCTTTCTTTAAAGCTTTCAATACTTTAGGTTTCTTTCCCAACTCAGACTAGACTTCCTCTCCAAAAGGTCTAAAGGACTTAATGCAGATTAGGTATGTGTTTTCTCTTGCTGCACTTAGCCAGCAGCAAAGAGAACTTTGGGGAGAGGATGGTCCAAAATGAAAGGACACCTTGTTCACAAAACTCTGAGTTTCCAAAGTAGATAATCTAAGACACCCCTGGGGGGAACTCAATCGCTTATTAGGGCAACATGCCAGGATTAATGAATAGTCACACTTCAGAGGTAATACTGACCAGCTTCATCACCTACATTGAACAAGATATATAACTTCTCTGTCTCTCAGTTTTTTTCCTCTTTAAAATGAAAATGTTAACAGTAGCTACCTTGTAGGGTTGTTGACAAGACTATGAGACAGAGCATCTAAAATGCTAAGCAGAAAGCAAATTCAATAAATGGAAGCATGTACTCTGATAAAGACTGGATGAGTGGTAATCAGTGGGTCTGATTTGTCACTTCAGTAGCGTTAGCATCACCTGAGAACTTGTTAGAAATGCAAAATCTTAGGCCCCACACCACAGTTACTGAACAAAAAACTAGGGTGGGACCCAGCAACCAGTGTATTAACAAACCCTCAAGTGGTTCTAAACACACTAAAGTTGTAGGAGTACCAGGATAGTTAAGAGCCTTAGAAAGCAGTAAGAATCTTCTCAGAGCCAAGCAGTTTGTGGTAAAGGGATTGGACTTAGGGCTTTATAGGAAACTATGGTAAAGATGTCTCACTTTTTTTGGGATTGGAAAGAAAGGAAATTTGGAGCAACTTCTACCTGGAATATTCAGGCAGAGGATGACCATCCCACAGTGACCATAACAACATGTACAGGGGTTTGTCTGCAAGGGTCTGCCACAGATAGCATCTTATTAGACCTCAGGAACCACCCGCCTCAACCCATCCCACATTCTAAGGCCTCTGACCACATTGTACCCTGGGACTTCAGCAGGCTGCAGGGCCCCACTCTGCTGCCAGATGAGAGCAGAGGAGTATGAAGATCTTGCCCTAGATTGTGCAGAGAGAAGTTGCATTAAGGAAAGAGTCCTAGAACACTCTCAACCATATTGCTTTGAGTTGCCAATCATGTATCTGTTCTGCTTTTCCCTTCTCATCTGCCACAGCAAGGATTCCTGAAGATACAGAAGAAGGAGGAGGCAGTCTATAGGGCTGGGTACCAAAGAATTTGGAAGACATTTGGGAGGTGCTGGACTTGTAGCTCAAAAGTAGAGAATTTGTTTGGTTTCTACAAGGTCCTGGGTTCAATATCCAGCACCACACACACACAAAAAGATAACTTTTAAAAGTTATTTTAAAACAAAACCAAAAAAGAGTTTAAAGATGGAAACATAGGCATAAGTAGAAACTGAAGGTATAGCTAAAATGCTGGGTAAAATTTTCACTTCTCTTTGCAAGAAAGGAAAGGCATTGTCTCCTTGCCCACAGCAAGCCTCATGACTGACACTCTAAGCAAACTGATGAGAAAGAAAGCATACAAAATTAACTTGTTTTATGTGACACAGGAGCTTTCAGAAATGAAAACCAAGACTCGGGAAAGCTACATTTTTATATTTAGATTTGATAAGGAGT